TTTCGAACCCTTAAAATCGGTAATGAATAGATTTTACGTTTTAAAGACATTCGTGACTTTTTAAAAATGACGCTATTTTCCAAAGCAAGGACGATTTTCCCGACGATAGATATATTTTTTCTAGATTAAATCATTAAGAAAAAATTAAAATGTTTAAAAGGGATATTTTCTCTGCTTTTAAAAAATGTAAAAATTATTGCTTTTACTTTAAGATATTTTATAAAAACAAGAATTTTCTTCCACGCATGTGATTTTTCTGGGTTTTATTCGTAATATTTAAATTAACCTCAGTTTTACCTTTATTTTTATATTGAAATAGGGAAAACAAAATACAGCTGGTAAAAGTAGAAAAAAATTCCATTTCAACAAGCCTTTACTTCTCTCTTTATGTTCGGTATTTTCTGAATTACCATAGTTTGAGTTTTGAACCTCTGTGTATTTTTTTGTAGAAAATTCGAGTTTTATCTATATTTAACGTCAAGGTCGTTTTCGTTGCGCCTCATTCGGAACAACGTGTTTAGTACTATTAAATTTAATTAAATGTTTTTTATTTAAATGAATGATTGTAAAAAAAATTATTGTTTTAAAATAATAGTAATCATCTTTACACCTTTAGAGAAATGTAGTCTTTTTGTTATTTATGAAACGTGCTATTAGTTCATTGTTGATAAAAAGAAAAACGCTGATTCCCAAAGCTCTAACATTACGTCAAAAAAAGAGAAAGATTTCATTGCTGTTTGCTTTAAAATATATTCCCAATATGATATACTCTTAAAGATTAACTGACATGAAATTTACAATAAATAAAAAACAACAACTTTGAAACGATATGTATTAATACAAATTCTCGCATTCACATGGCTCATTACGGTATGAGTTGATATTAATTGAGACTAACACGTGTTTCCGCTGATGCAGTAAACAACAACAACTACATGTACATGGATTTACGATGTAAAACACGTCAATTCATCAGATGTGACTGGTCTTTTCTTTGGCATTAGATGTGAGTAAGTATTGATTGAAAAGTTTAAATTTTAAAGTGTTTTACAGTACATTGATAGAAATGAAAAGACATTATAGACTTCCAAGGACCTCTATGTACGTGCATAATATACAGGTCCAGCACAATACCCCGATAAAGGTATATAGCTTGATAGCTTTATCAAGGTATTTAAAATACCTTGATCAAGGTATTTTATGTAATGAAAATTCAAAAAAAATTCTTTAAAAATTAATTACTGAAAGTCGAGTTCTGAGTTTTTGACAATGTGTCTATGCGTGCATGAAAAACACTCTGGTATCAAAAAAAGCATAAAATAATGTCTCCTCTAACGACACGTTTTTATACTGATTTGTTTGTGTTCGAGTACTTTACATGCATGGGTGAATTTACTGACAACAACTCAGAATTCGACTTTCAGTAATTAATTTTTAAAGATTCTAGGCACGGACACCGCGCGCAAAACGGGTCACCCTCGCAAAAAAAAAACACATCGATCCCGATATTTAAAAAAAAACTTATTAGACAGCATTGACTCACCACAACACATGAACGTAACTTTATTCCCTATACCTGTTACGAAAAAAGCACCATGTATTTTCTTTATCACCTAAAAAATTAAGTTGAGAAAAAAATCAGATAAGCCAAGATATTTGTATGTAAACTTGTTTTTATATACGTTTATTCCTTTTAAAAACATTCATGAGAAAAATATACGTTCCTTTTTTCAATGCAAGCAAATTTTGAAAATTTCCCCCCTTTTTTTATATTTTATTAAAATTTTTAAAGCTCTATGTTTCCACTTTTTATACAATTCATTTTCTTATCCTGTCTTAGTTATGGAGAAAGAACATAGTAAATAGGCAAAAAGAGGACAAATGAATGCGTTACATGTATATACCGTACCTTAAATTGAAACTATAAATCACAATCAAAATTGGTTGCAAATATTTCTGCACATCCTCCCCTTTTTTAATGTGGTGGTACCTGTACCCTGTTTCACTTAAACACAACATGTATATATTTCTTACAAGGACCGCTACTATGATCTCAAAAACATTATTTATGTATACATGTAATATTATATAATTTAATCAAAGAGATGAGAAATGTGCTGTTCTTGTCTTTTTTATTACATGTACACTGAAAGGTGTTTGACTTTTCTCTGCGAAATTGCTGTCAGTTCCATTAAATTTTGAATATTTGAAAGTAACTTAAAATTATGAATACTTATACAGTGGACCCTTATGCAGATATGCGGATGCTTCAGTATCCGGACAACTTTTAATCTGAAGAGATTTTTTTAAATGTAATTTTGTCTTGTTTAACTTGTAATTCAGATATCGGACGCTTCACATATCCGGATAAATTGACTCGGAACCAAAGCGTCCGTATAAATGAGGCTACACAGTATATTTTTACGCAAGAACGGCAGACCATTAAGAAGCCATTTCAGTTGGGGGCAGCTTTTTTTTTCAGTAATGGGCACTTTCAACAACCAAATTTTCCTTGACAAGCAAAACAATTTTTTACGGCCACGAACGATCATATATTTATTTTCCTCCGTTACATAGGCAAATTAATTTGGTAACTTACATGTATAAGCTTTTCACATTTCGATGCGATTGTCTAATCCAATGAACTATTACGTCCAACATACGCTAATATAGCCAACATTCAATGTGTGATATTGTATTATGATGTTATTTCTCAATTAATAAGTAAAGTTATAATTGGTGCTTTCAGTTCCCAGAGCTGGCTGGAAATCAGTCTCAGTATAATGGTATGGAAAACTTAAAGGCAGAGAAAGCAAAATATCAAGGGCTGCAATATTCAATTAATGTTTTTTTTTATGAGGCGATGCTGTTAATTCAGTAATAATATACCACTCTTGTTTGACTCTCTTTCGCTAAAATTTTTTAGGAAAAACATTTTCAATATATATAGCTATCACTTCAGAACATACCAAACACACACATCAAAATAAAAAAAAGACAACAACATCCAACTCGTACCTTCCTTCGCTTGTCCGTTTGAAAAGAAGAGGGGGGTTCAGCAAAAAAAAGGAGATTTACCTTAAAAATAACTACTCAATAAAAAGGGGGTGTAGAAAGTCGAATCCAATTTCGCCGATGGGAAGGGGGAGGTTCAGTCTTCTTTCAGTATCAAATTTTCTTAATCAAACATAATACACTGCCTTCTTCCTTTGCCCTATAGTGCAAAAATTTGACTATGCTGCAACAAAAGGTGTGTTTGTGTGTGTGGAATTTAGGGGGGGGGACTTTCAATGTAACCCCCCCCCCCCCTTAACCCCTTGCTATACTGCCTTGCACTTGAAATATTTTCTTTTTTAAAAAATGTGTTTGTTTATTAACTTCTTTCCAAAGAATCATGTAAGGATTATGATATAAAGTTTAATCTATATTTCAACGAAACTTTTAGAAATGAATGTCGAGATATGCGGGGTATTTTGATATATGTATCAGAGTTGAAGATTTCAAAGCAAAATGTGACTTATTCATTTCATATAATGAATTCAATAGTCAGCGATATATTATATATTTCACGCTCATTAAAGTTTACTTTTTGCTCATTTAGTGATGTATTCTCAAGAGATGTAGCCATATATCTGATGTTGTACAAAAATTCGCGATCGTACGTCTTTTTGCTTAATCTATACTTTTTTTTTTCATTTTGGTTAATAAATATCCTCATTTCTAATAAGATTGTCTATGTTTTATTGTTAATTTCTTCTACATTGGGTATAATGCTTTTTGGAAAAGTCTACAATAGCTGTATTTAATTTCTTAACATATTGCAAAATAGATTCTAGTGGGATGTCATTCATTCATTTCATCGGAAAAACTTCAAAAATTTTAAACAATAGCAATTTCTACCATACGATTCCTTTGAATGTATTTTTTTGGTCATTTTATATTCGTTTTTGAAACTATTTTAGCAATATTTTTATGACATCCCCATCATTCGCATTTTTTCCTTAGCATATTCTATTACTGTTAAATGGAGTGTTATTAACTTTTCTTACAATTAGTATTATACTGCATTAGTAGTTTCGTCATTATGTTAATAAATGACCTTTTTCAATTCAAATTGTGTTTATCTCTTTGCTGTTAATCAAACGAAGCTAATAGTTTTGCTTGGGCGAGATGACAAAAAAAATATTTATTGTTGTAGAAGGTTTGAACCCCCCATGTTACTAGTATCTTTATTCAATCAAAGAGGGATTATGTTTCTTAGCTTTACCGTTTACCGGTCTTTCTTATTCGGAGATATTTTTGGCTTGTCTTTTTATCCCCCCTTTTTACACACATTTAAAATCGACAGTTCACACCGAAGGCTGGCTTTCGGGATATATCAGTATGATTAACTATGGATTAGATTTAAAATGGCTAAATGCGATTTAAATTATGGTATATATATTTTCAGGGGAAAAGTTGCGCTTATAAGAACGGTTATTACTATATGTGCATAGCTCTCTCGACTCTTTCTGAAAAAAAAAATATAATACATATATATGGAATATAAAGACCTCTTAACATAAATTCAAAATTAAGCATTTGTAAATTGCCCAGAAAACAAATATGCAGCATCTTTTATTTAGTCATGCACAGACGTCGTTTTCATCGCTGTTCCATAGCTAGCATTGTGCATGTCTATATCAACATCAAGTTAAATACTTATTTAAGATATTGAATAAATTTACGTTCTAAATAGTAATATATAATATATCTATTACAAAATGTCTGCTTAAAGTTTCAAACTTTTTTTACGCTTTGAAATTCATTTTTTTGCTTACAAAATGCAGTCAACAAAATTACTTCCGTGTTTACAATAGCGCGACTTTGACGTTGTTTTCTGAGCATTGTGACGTCAAAAGATAAGGGCCCTTTTCTCATGACGGCAGTCATATAATAATGCCATGTCAAAAGGTCTCTAAAATCACGTAAAATGTGCCGGTAGAGAAAGGGTTAAAGAGTGTAATCAGTAATGGAATGCAAAGTTTGAATAATTGTATACACTATGTGTTAGTGCTTAAATAAACGTACCAGTATTCATTGAAATGGAACTATATGACTCTTCGTTGGTTCCTTCCATTTTGCTTGGATCTATAAAAAATTCTGATTTTTTAGTTTCTAAATTACAATATTGAAACAAATTGAAATGAAATTGAGAGTAGTTTTTATTGTTTAACTCCCCCCCCCTCCCGCCCCAACCCCCGAATTAAAAAACATATACATGAAGTTAGCTCAGGTGTACTTTGAAAATCATTAACTTGTGTTTTTTCCAGTTTTTTTCATAAATAGTTGCAGAAGACATCAATTTTCAGTGGAATTTTATTTCAAAAAACATACTATGCCATCGTCGCCCAGAAAGATTTTGAAATAAGTGATTTTTCATAGCTGTTACATAATATAAATTAAACAAAACTTAAAGTGGGCAACGATGTCATACATTATTTCCTAATGGAAAATAAGCACAGAAATGGGTCATTTTGAGGTTTTTCCTGAATGTACCAAATTAATGACGTCATATTTCCAGAAATGTCCTCCTTCGTGTCATATTCTTTAATGAAATATCGTATCCATCTCGTCAACTATTATTAAAGTCATTTTCATAACATTTAAAGAAAATTAAATATTAAGGGCACAATAAACCTCAAACCGTATCTTCTTCTTTAAAAAGTGCAATCAGTAAAGGAATGCAAATTTTGAATAATTGCATACACTATGTGTTAGTGCATTAACAAACGTACCAGTATTCATTGCAATTAAATTCTGTGACTCTTCGTTGGTTTCTTCCATTTTGCTTGGATCTATAAAGAATTCTAATTTTTAAGTCACCATAATTCGAACTAGTTTTCTGGATAGTTGTAATAGTTTGTGTATTATGTAGTAACAACGGTCCTAAGTATATACTTTATTAATTTTTCAGAGAAACAACAAGAATTTGTTTTAAATTAATTTATTACGTTTCTCTTGTAGACTTTGTATATATAAAAGGCTTTAGCAAGTCAACAAACAGATAACAAGACCAAGAGATGCCTTAATTGCTATTTAAAATGTGTTTGAAAATGCTGATTTCTTTTTACCCTTTGTTAATTATGTTCAAACGTAAAAAAGCAATTAAGCAGTCAACGTACAAATACCAGAATAATGATATGTCCTAGAGGATAACTTTTATATATCTGAAGAAAGGGGATTGAATTAAAAATGATTACCTTTTCTGCCTTTTTGTCTCCTTTTTACCAACAGGTATATCATCACTAAAACTACAGCCAAAATGACACCAACAACTCCTATAGTGATTCCTGCTACAGCCGCCGTGTGTAATGTTCTATTTTCCAAGGGTTTATTAGGGTGTTGCCTAGAAAATAGGACAAAGTGTTACATTAAGGTTAGGAAAATTACAATATTAAAACAAACCGAAATTAAATTGAGAGTTGGTTTTGTTGTTTTAACCCCCCCCTCCCGAAAAAAAACATATAGTTAGCCCAAATGTACTTTGAAAATCAAAGATTTCCCTTACCTATAATTGTTTGATTGCATATTCTTTAACGCTCTTCTCTCGTATTTTTCACTCATATGTAGAGCCCTTACATATGAAAATGTATTTTGATTTGCAATTTGAATTCCAATATTGGGTATGTTTCAAATTATACCCACAAGTTTTTTTTCAATGTTACTGCTGTCAATGTGTGAATTTGTATATCTTAGTATTCCCTATATAGAGAATTATTTCTGATTAATGTCAAGTAGCTTTCTGTTGTTATTGAGAACTCAGTTAAACGTATATGTATTTTCATTAATTATTTGAAGATCTGTGGAAGAAATTGTGTGATATATGATTTGATGTGAGTATGAGAATCATGTTAAGAAATATAGTAGAAAAATCGTTAAACATATGTATCTTATATTCAAAAATGAGAAGCACAGTTTTAGACGTTTATAAAATAAGAACCTGTTGTTTGAAATATTTATTTAGTATAATAAAGGTTTATGTCTTATTTTACTCGGATCCTATAGGCTGAAGTCGATTGCATTCTTTAAAATGCATAAAAATCCAAGCTAATGAAATGGACTTAAAAATTTGTTATGTAAAAACCTCGAAATGAGATTAAAAATATTGAAAAGTGCAGAAGATATGAAATGAAATCAGTGATATGTCAATTTACATTCGTACTAAAGATTATTTTGTGTGAATACGTTTACTCTCTCTCTCTCTCTCTCTCTCTCTCTCTCTCTCTCTCTCTCTCTCCCTCTCTCTCTCTCGTCAATGTCCGCTTACGTGATGTTAGAACAGGAAGGTTCTGCAAAAAAGCATCTTTCCAAAGGATTTATTCTGTGACACTGTGGGATTGTAAAAATAATATACAAATACACCATTTTCTTCATATCCATTTTTTATAATCTATGCGACAGAAACAAATATCTCCATTTACCAGTTAACCTGGGTATCTAGAATAACCAGCATCAAAACAATAAAGAAAATGAAAAATGCTAAATATGTCATTATAACAGATTTGTTAAAAGTTTAACTTGGTCTCAAATGTTGTTTTTGATTGGTTGGGTATCTTTTAATGAAATATAATTTGTTGTGTTGCAATGCTACATATGATAATGGAGAATTGTATTTTACATATCAGCTTGAATCAGTCCGGAAATAAACAAAAAAGTAACATTCATTAAAAAGAAAATGAAAAGGTTTTTTTAAAACTCCCCAAATACCCCCCCCCCCCCTTATATTTTCAAAGAACATCATTTCTATTTTGGAAATTTATTATCTATATTATGAAATACATTTTTGGATAATAAGCATTTTAGGTTGTAGACCTGTGAGTAAAGGTATGTATTTAAAATATTTTTTTTATAAAATGATTTGTTTGATAATGATAACGGTGAAACTTACATTTATACAGATCAGAAAGAATGAAATGGTTAGCTGGACATCCATCTGTGAAATTAAGACAGTTGGTTTGATCCAAGTTCCCACTTTCATAAACCTCGATGCAATTTCCTGCATGAAGACAGAGCAATTAATTACACGCTTTGTATTGTTCTCAAAATCAAATTGATATACATACAAGACAAATACCCTTTTCATAAAATCCAACTGTTGACTTATAACAGAACTCCACCAGACTTGATCTCTGGTGATTAGGAACACAGACGTACTGACTCCGCCCATTCTCATCCACACCACATCCCAGTCTGGTAGCCGAGGTTGTGTACTCTGTCTTGTTACCGGGACAGGAGTCCACAGTGTAACCAAAAGATCCGAACTTCATCTTTGACATTCACCTAGAAAAGATTATAACACGACATTTTTGGAAGATTTTGTGTCATAAATTCCATAAAGTAAGTCTATATAGAAAATTAAATATTAAGCATTGCCCCATCTTCCCAAATCAAGAGTTTCTGATCTGCTTCGCTACGCATAAAAAAAGGTTTATGTGGAGCGGAGCGGACTAGAAACTCGTGACTTGGGAAGATGCTATTACTCATGTACTGTATTTTTTATCAGCTGTATACCCGTTTTATTTAACTTTAATAATATAAATTCTAGGAAACACTATAATTGCATTTTAACAGCGTTTTCTAGTCATGAACATGCCAATAGAAAGATCTATACTGTTTCAATGTTCAGAAGATGACAACAAAGAATAAAAAAACTCTTCTATAGATATAGTTTTCGATGGACCCAAATTTAGCAAAAGTTATCTCCCGTTGGTCACCATATTGGAGGTCGACACGGTGAGTTTTCCTCATTGTCTTACCATTTTAAAGAAAATATAGCAGAAATATTTGGTGGAAAATCTTTATTAAATATTTTTTTCTTAATAAAGGAGGCTTCCAAAAATTTATATACTTCAGAAAAATAATGATTTCTAATTCAAAATCGCAAATATAAAAATTTAAAATTGGTTGAACAATGAAGGAATATGAGCATTTTGACCTCAAGTATGGCGGCCAACGGGAGCTAACTTTTGCTAAAATTAGGTCATATGAAAACTATCTATAACTATAAATGATGAGAAAAAAGATAAATACTTCCGTACAACAGTGACTTCGTATTTTTAAAACATGTTTTAACATAATTCTTATTGCATTTTGTTTTGCTTCTGCGTCAAAATGTGGACCTCCATTTTCAAAATGTGTGTTTTGATTTTATTTTCTTACCCTAAATGTTCAAAACGAAAGTAGACTTAAATTATAAATCATTCAATTTATTGTTTTTTACTACTTACGTCATTTAGTTTATCATGCTAAACTTCCCCCTTTTTCATTCTGAAACAGGTGTTCACCAGATCTTTATTATCTGAATAAAGTCGATTCACATCAGAGTATGGCCTTCGTTCGTATGACTCGTTGAAAGTGGGTTGTACGGAAGCCTAATCGTGCAAACCTTGATTAAAGTGGCAATATCACGCATCTCTTCCAAAACAGACTTGTTAAAATTTTCCTATAGGATTTGGAAATTTTTTCATACTCATAAATGTATACACTTTCAGAAAATCACAAATTTTATGAGTAAATAGTTCAGATTATTTCAATAAAATTAATAATTATTTATGGTACATAAATATATACATCGCACCGTGTTCGAGGTTCCACATTCCATGCTATACACGCACATGACGCATGAGTATAGTTTTCATAAGCAAAACAGCATGGTAAGAGAGGGAAGCCCGGTAGGCCTGCTACATTGACAAAGTTGATCAAAACAAAAAACGAAACCAAAAATAGGGATTGAAATTTAAAAGCAACTTTCCTGACAAAAATTTAGTTGGGCAATTAATATAATCATTGGATGAAGAAGAAACGGGATCTCGGCAACACTCACGTGGGGCTCGCGAAGGTTTTACCCTACAGGTTTGTTGATATAAGAGTCGTACATGGTATCATTTCTCGTCTCTCCATGGCTTTCAAAAAAAATAGTGTAGACTAAACGTTAAAATGCACTTATGACATATCAAATTTATTGCCATTTGAAGTGAAAATTTTATTGGAACTACAGAATTAAGGGCATTATGTTTGACATTTTGCCGTATGATTTGGTGGATTTTCCTTTCCTGCACCTTAATACACAAAACGTCAACATTTGTATATTTAATCATGTTAAATTCATCTGAATGCAGAATAAAATGTTAATTATAATTGATTTACCGGAGAGTTATGATATTTTAATTCTGAAAATTGCTTTTACATAATATTCCATTATAATTGTAAACCCTACATTGTATGCACGTGCCATTTTAGAATTCACGTGGTACAAGTAAACAGATATAAACAGAGCTAACTTTTACGAGATTTTCCGGCAGGTTCTAATTACGTTAATTTTGTATGATATATTTATTTTTCTCAAACTGCTTACTTCAACTTTTTACTTTATTCCTTAATGATATATTGGGTAATTGTAAATGAAAAAGCACACGATTTGCAGCCGTATTGCCGCTTTAAATAAATACGAAATAAATTTGAACATATGAAACAATATTTAAAAAAAAAAACAACAAAAAATCAATCAAATAGATAAAGGTAAAAATGAAATAAATTTATCAGAAAATTAAAAAAAAAAATATTCTAAAGAAAAATGAAGCTGAAATATGGAATGTCGATGTTCATGATAAAGATATAAACCCGTGTCTCTTTTCTTAAAGCACACATGGTACACTGTATAAAGCATTAGTTCGATAGATCTGATTTTGTTTCATCATCAATTAAGTATGATATAATTTTCATTTTCACTAATCTATTTTCATTTCAATGATAAAAAATCTGATGAAGTGGACGATTACTTTCTCCTTTGGTTATCTAATATGCTAATAATGTTACAATACATTGAGTGGCGATTGCCCAGTCGGATGGTTGGCCACTGATTCTAGAAAAGTCGATGACAAGTTATCATTAGTTCTCCTACACTTTCAACTAAGAAGGATGAATTGTCAGTGAGAAATATATTTATAGACATTCTTCATCAAAAAGACCATGCTGACAAATTGACCGAAGAGTTGAAAAGAAATACATGATTGACTGTCTATTAATGAGGTCTTAAACTTTTTTGTCAACTTCATTTTCAGTTATTATACTTATACATATGTATTTTAATTAAACATCAAACAGAAATCCTTCTGTTGGTGCTACAGAAAATTGAATATGACATTTTTTCACTAAATGCTGTGTCTAAGTAAAAATAATAACATCTCCAACGTCCCACCCCCAATTTTCTAAATCATGGGATAAAATAGAGTGTTAAATTTTTCAAAAATGTACTTTGAAATTGTAACATTGAAAAGTTTAATAAATTATCTGAAATTCTTCAACTCGATCACAAAATGTGTTTTTTTTGCACAAGAAAATTATTTTAAAGTTTTAAACGTTTGTTGTATTTAAGCAAAGTGAAAAAATTGATCTTATATATTTAGAAAAGAAAAGCAAAAGCGGGAGGTCAATGATGTAATTTTTTAGTTACGAAGATTGTCCTAGAAGCTAGTGAACAATGGAAATTTTATGAAGAAAACCACCTTGACGTTGAGGATGCAACACATCAAGAAATAACCGTTAACAAACTTAAACAGCAATGAACTTATATTTTAAACATTAAAAATGCTTTCTTAGTGTTTTAGAATAAAAGCAATTATTACATTATACCCATTTGAACCACATTTTTACAGAAATGGATAAACTTTCATCTACATGTGTAAACCTATAGGGTTTAGCACAGACATATTGTTTGAACATTTTAAACTTAGACAATATTAATATCATAATGATCATTTTTAGGTATTAGCAGTGAAAGTAAAATGATATAAAGGTTTATTAAATCAGAATGTTTATTATTAGTGACGCAAATTCGGTGACTTTATAATTGGAAAAAGGACTTTAATTTTGTAAACAATTATTATCTTGTCAAAACAAACTGGATTTTGTTGTCGTTCCAATGCACTATAATTTGGTAGATCATTTTGTAATGAAATTGATTCGAATAGACCAATCAAGCCCATCGATAGTAAGTAATAAAATCCGAACGGAAATACAATGGTATTATTAAGAGTTTTGACTAAGAGCAATAAAATTGGGAACTTTGAAGTAAATAAGTAAAAGAGCTTAGGGCTAGAACTCCTGTGGTGCAGAGATGGGGACTGAGCCCATAAATATTAGTAATGCGTATTTACCTGCATTTAAGGGTGGTGCCATGTTGGGGTTCATAGGTCAACGGACAGACCTACGGACAAAGCGTAGGTGGTTAGTGATGGTGAATTAGCCAATGAAATGCATTTTCATATCCGAGACCATGGATACCCACTGAGCACAAAATACTCTGTTTTTGATCATAAAAAGTGAACTTACCCAATTCCGCTAGGGTAAATGTATCATTCAAGATGATGAATGTATCTTCTTTTTCTTTTCGGCTGAGTGTGATCCGTTTTGCATCCATTGTGATTTGTATTAAGAAATTAAAAGATAAAACCTGATTGGTAAGACGTTGCGCACGGTGTTGGTACTATAATATCTAACTCTTTATGTCGCAAAGAAATTGGCGGTTTCGCGATGCCATATTTACTTTAAATTAAAAATAAAATCATTTATGTTATCTGAAGTAATGAATGATTCTTAAAATTTTCTTTTAAATGATTTAAGATTATTTAAACCATGATGAGGCGTTACTCAGTATTGGTCATTTATGGCGAAAATTCCCGTGTCCGACGTTACATCAATTATTGTTCGCTCAACTAAAAGGTATGAAAAAATGCACTTACAATTCTCTGAATTAAATGACATTTAGAGGGTACAATAAAATATATGCATTCTTTAAGATATCCTTGAGTTTTTAACATCATTTTATCAATTTCATTAATTTAGACTGAATCTACAGTGCGTAAGTAAAATGTCTAACAGTAAGAAATCGGTTCCTTACAATGACATTAGCCGAAATGGAGATGTGTATCAGACATAAATCCCAGACAAATATTAATTTTGGAGAATAATCTTTAAGTACATATATTTCTTAGATTAATTGAATTGATACATTTTATATATCTTTTCCAACGTAAATATTAGGAAGGCTTTCTTAAGTGTAGCAATTTTGTTATGCACCGAGTCACTGTATTGTTACTAAATATGTCTCAGTAACATATCAAATATATATAAATTAATGTTAGATACAAAGCAATCATGTATGTAGCTTGAAAGAACATTTAATGCTGCATTTACTAATTACACAATCTTTACAGTGATGGTCTACATGAAATAAATGCAAGCATCAATAAAAATGTAGCCATTCTGTCACAGGTACAAAAAAAGTCATTTTACGCAATGTGTACAAATGACGTCGGGAGCGTCAAATTATTATCGCCGTGTCTTTTTTCATGCAGGTCCGTAGTACCAGCTCACAGGTACTTGTGAACATGCAGGAACCAACCCCCCCCCCCACCCACCCACCCCCAACCCCGATATTCAAATTCGGAGTTTTTTTTCACAAATTATATTTATTACACTTAATCATCATGTGTACATCTACCAAAGGAAAAAATTATGAAAACCCCAAAATGATATCGTTCCACAAAATACCCTACTAAACAAAGTATGCATTATAAGAGTCCCCCCACCCTCCCTTCTTTCACCAAAAATAGTAAAAAGATTTTAGAATTTTTGTGATAAACCAGATTTGCAATAATGGTGAAACGTCTCCATCCCTCTTTTTTTCATCCCCTCAATATACTAAAATGATACTTTTTTTAAATTCCAAATTGACCCCAGTTCCATTGAAACGTATGAAGTATAAATTTTTAACTCTCATTTTTTCTCTATACACCCAAAGCGCATGAGGACGCTATATAGAAATAAAAGACTTGTAATGACCTAACTAAAAAAATATTGAAGGAGGTTGAAAGGGAAAACTACTCATATATTTTCTCCTTATAAGACAGACAAGTGAGAAAAATAGGAAGAGGAATATTCACTGAGTGCCTTTGGCATTTCAGTTATTAAAATTTTAATATTAAGGTTTGTTAATAAACATCTAAATATTTCAAAAAAAGAAGATTCAACATTGAATATTATGTGCCCTTTTCTTTTATTTTTTTTTATACTTTTGAAATATACATGTATAAGGTTCAAAACAATATAACAACTTTATGACTTTTTAACTTTATTTTGACGTAACGTCAATGTGTACGATCACCGTGCGCAACGTCTAAATAATTTAACCATTGTCTACTGAGCATTTTGATTGGTCAGTTTCGATATTGAATGTCGAATCTCGGACCTCAAATCTTGAATTTCGTATTTCGAAATCTCGTATCTTGAATTTCGAATGAGCTTTCTGGGCTTTCGTAGGCTAGGGAGTCAACAAAATTAACGACCAGATATAACTTAATTTTTAGATATGATATTTTAAGCTGTCAAATATCATTTGGCAAAGAAAATTTCATAAATCTTAGTTTTAAAATTAGATCATTTTATTATATCTTTTCATGGAGCTCTCTTTCTAAAGGAGATAAAAATAGTCTAAAAATTTTTATATATTTGACCACGCCATGTGCGTTTTTACAACGATTTTTATTCAACTACGTCATACATACACATGTACACATTACAAGACATAGACAATACACATGTAACAAAACGCATCAGTGAGGCTGAACGGTATAGGGTAAAATCAGAGTTGGGTAAAAGTAGAATACATAACATCCCTCTCCTTAAGATAAATATAAAATTTACAATAAGAATGAACTTTACAAAAACTCATTAATTTAAATTTCTTAATTTTGATATTTTAGCAGTTCGAAATACAAATTACAAATATCTTGAAGAATTGAAGTTTTCCTTATGAATCCTGGCTCCTGAGAATCTTGAGAATTACTGAATCACACATACACATAGCACTAAACACAAATTAAACACTTTTCACAAATACACTAAATTTCAGAACACAATTATTTGGTGAAGTCGTCAAATTTCTTTGGCGGAATCACGACACCTCCTGACCTGGTTACGATGGTGGATGACGGTGTGATGGTTTCAGGGAGTTTCGGCAGGTTTGAGGATTGCGGTGTACTTGCGACCTCTTGTAGATTTTCTTCAGATGTTTCTTTGGTTTTTGTTGGGTTGGCTGAATCTTTTCCATGTTTGATGACTATTTTTTCGCCTGAGTGAAGTTGTCTAAGTTCTCTGCCTGCATGTCTGTCAAAATATAACTTCTGTCTGATCTTTCTGGTTTCCATTCGCATCTTCAGATCACTTGATGATGTTGCTGCTCATAAGAGTGGAGAAGCAGTAGGAAGATCTGTTTTTAGTCTTCTGCCTAAGAACATCTGTGCAGGTGACAAACCGATTTCTTCGATGTTGGTATTACGATAGTCAAGCAAAGATTTGTATGGGTCTTTGGCTTTATGCAACAAGTTCTTGACTGTTCTAACTGTTCTTTCTGCTTGTCCATTGGCTTGCGGGAAATGGGGTGATGAAGTCACTTGAACAAAACCGTACTCCTTGCTAAAGTCTCTGAATTCCTTGCTGCTGAACTGTGGTCCGTTATCCGTAAGAACTTTGTCGGGTAGTCCGTTTCTGGAAAATTGCGACTTCAGACATTGTATGGTAGCATAACTGCTAAGTCCTGGTAACTTTGCGACTTCTGGCCATTTTGAGTAATGATCAACTGATACCAGGTATTGTTGGTTCTCAAACTCAAAGATGTCTGCTGAAATGTTGGCCCATGGTCTATCAGGTACTTCTAGTGGAATAAGTGGATCCTTCGGGTTTGATGTACAGTGCTGTGCACATACTTCACACTGTGATACAATTTTCGCAATGTCTTTAGACATTCCTGGCCAATACATCACATCTTTGGACCAGCTCTTACACTTTACAATTCCCAAGTGGGAGCTATGAATCAGGTTTAGCATTTCTGTTCTCATTGACTGCGGGATGATCAACTTGTGACTTTTGAATAAAAGTCCATCAACACATGAAATTTCGTCTCGAATATTCCAGTACATCCTGATCTCATCTGGAACTTCAGGTTTCGAGTCTGGCCATCCCTCTAATACTGTGTCAAGTAGTGATTGCAATTCTGCATCATTTGCTGTGGCTTTCTTGAACTCTTCATATTTCATTGGAGAAACTGGTAAGTATGATATCAAGTGAATATCATTCACTGAAATGTCTGGAACAAGGTTTTCCTTCGTCTCACTGAGATATGATCTGCTGAGAGTGTCTGCTAAATTCATAGTCTTTCCAGACTTGTAGATCACTTCTAAGTCATACTTCTGCAAACATAATAAGAGTTTGTAATCTCGGTGGAGCGGAATGAAGAGGTTTTCTGAATATGCTCTGTAAAGGTTTGTGATCACTTTCCACAACCACATGACGTCCGAAGATATATTGGTGAAATGTGGTACAGCCAAAAGTGATTGCCAAATTTTCCTTTTCTATTTTGGCATAGTTCTGTTGACTGTCTGTCAATGCTCTAGATCCATAAGCAATAGGCTGATTCTCTTGAAGAATACAAGCTCCAAGTCCATTTAAACTTGCGTCCACGGTAAGTACCAAGTCTTTCTTCGGATTGTAGTATCTAAGTACTGGCGCTTCTGTCACTAACTGCTTTAGTTTCTCAAAACTCTTCATCTGTTCTTCTTTCCAGTGCCATGCAATGTCTTTGCTGAGTAACTGTCTCAATGGTGCACTGAATTCAGATAAATTTGGAATAAATTTTCCCAAATATTGCGCAAATCCAAGAAATGTCATTAGCTCCTTCACATTTCCTGGCGGTTTCATCTCTTGTACTGCTCTGATCTTTTCTGGATCTGGTCTGACTCCGGATTTTGAAAGTTCATGTGCTACGTATGTGACTTTGTCTTTGCGAATTCGCATTTATCTGGATTGAGTTTCAAGTTGAATTTCTTCACACGATCCAGAACAAGTTTTAAACGTTCATCATGTTCCTGCTGATCTCTGTCCCAGATAAGGATGTCATCTATAATAGCTTCGCATCCTTCAATGTCTTTAATCATGACCGAGATTGCTCTCTGGTAGACTTCCGAAGCAGATTTGATGCCAAAGGGCATTCTAGTGAAACTGTACCTTCCATATGGTGTGTTGAAGGTGCATAGCTTGGTGCTCTGCTCATCAAGCTTGAACTGCAAGAATCCAGAGGTTGCATCAAGTTTTGTAAACATGCTAGCATCTCTGATCTGTGTGATGATTTCATCTACTGTCTTCAGCGGAAAATGCTCACGGAGAATGGCTCTATTAAGGTCTCGAGGATCTATGCAAATGCGAACTTTTCCATTGGATTTGATTGGTGTGACCATTGAATTCACCCATGGAGTAGGTTGATCCTGTCTCACAATAACACCATTTGCTTCCATCTTGTCTAGTTCTGCTTTCACTTTATCTTGAAGAGATATTGGTATCTGACGAGGTGCATGAATAACAGGATTGACTTTTGGGTCCACCTTTATAGTGTGTCTCCCGGCATGCATCCTAATCCTTCAAAAACTTCACTGTACTTTTCTTGTATGTCACTTGGTATGCCAGTGTTCTCAAGCTGATAAATTCTAGACACAAGTCCAAAACTTTCACAGGAATTCACTCCAAGAATTGGTTTGACATGCATTTTCACCACATGAAAATTCAGATCAACTGCTTTGTCTTTGTGTTTGACTGGTAGAGTCACAAATCCTATTGGTTTTATGGTGTGACCTGAATATGATCTCAGTGGTACTTCAGATGGTTTGATAGCGTCTGTGCAGTGCATCTTCTCGATTTCATGAAAAGGCAGCACATTGCACATTGCTCCAGTGTCCAGTTGGAAAGTAATCTGTTTCCCATGAATTTCTAATTCTGTAGTCCATCTGTTAGAGTATTTATCTATCATGTCGACATCAAGGCTTCCCATGAATAGAAATTCACCTCCTGTCTGTGCGTCACTTGAATCTGAGTAGTCTTCTTCCTCGACTAGGCGAACAGACTTTGACTTGTGTTTATTGGTTTTGGTTCGACAAACTGGTGCAAAATGGTCTTTTTTGTGGCATTTCTTACATATTTGTCCTATTGCTTGACATGGTTTCCCATCATGTTTGTATCCACATCTGGTACACGATTTGTCATGTTTACTGTCGTTGAATCTGTGTTTGGGTTGTTGACCTCTATCAGATTTTGTGAAACTTTTACTGTGTAGAGATGATTTTCCCTTGTGAACATAGTTGACTAAAGGGTCTTCTCCTGCCATAGATTTGGCTTGGGCCTGTGATAGTTCATGAGTGCGCGCTATTTCCTTAGCCTTCTCTAGCTGCAGATCTGATCCGACTTGAATAAGTTTATCTCTAATCTTGGGATTTCTAACGCCTATCACAATTCTGTCTCTAACCATTTCATCTGGCTTGTCATACGCAGGTAGGTTAAGGTTACAACCAAATATTCTACTTGCCTTTATGATATGACGTCATAGTAAGCTATATGACGTGAGGTTTAGAGATGACAATTTCTTTAATTCGATATCTAAGATTAATTTGAGGTCGTAAAAATGAATCAAAATATGCAAAGGCATAATATAAACGGAATTTTGTCGTTTCTGGACCCCTGTAGTTATCACATGGGTTAAATACCAAAACCCATGACGTCATAACTGTTGATCATGCAGCCGCAGAGTGAAACTGAATCGTAACGAGAATTGATGTAAACAAACACAAGAAATTGGAGTTTAAAAGCATTTAGAATGAATATCATGTGTGATTCTTGTGGGAATAAAGCGTATGAATAAGGTATGGTAATATAATTTTGCAATTTCCTCGTAGAATTATAGCAGGGAGGGTGTTTACTTGCCGATCAGCCTTTCCTCTGTCGTTCGTAACAAAAAAGATGCAAAAGTTCAACACTACGCCGCATACCTTGAAACTTAATTTTTGTTTCTATCTAATGTTCTTATTCTTTTGTTTTTGGAAAGTGCTGCTAGAATCGTGTGGTTTACGGGAATTGATGCTTTTTTTTTCAATGTTATGAACAAAATGTAAATATTTTGGGAAGGTTTCGTCCGAAATTGTTGAATAATTATTTCTATAATAGGACAGTACGATTCTAGCAGCACTTTTCATGGTACAGAGATGTTTTTACATAACTTTTATTAGAAATTGAAACTAATTATCCCCGGAGTAGTGTTAAACTTTTCACTTTTTCATTAAGGCATATTTTCTAATTATAGACGTCACGTGGTGACGTCGTGGTGAAGTGCCTCCTGTAGTATATGTCCCATTGAAGTCTATAGAATGCATAATTATAGCAAAAGTTTAATCCTTGACTTTTCCGATTTATTGGTGTTACATAATTATCAAAAAGTGTGAATTTGCCGAATTCTGATCCATGTGCTGCGCATGCCTTAACATACCCGCGTAATTACAGTCTTTCACTAATATTTTCAACTGGGTTGCAAACTGTTCAAATGTCTCACCTGTTTCTTGAACTTTACTGTGAAATTTGTAACGGATGAAAATTACGTTTGATCTGGGTTTCACATATTCCTCGAACTTCTCTACGTATTTTTTTTAAGTTTCTTCTGTTCCTCCTCTGACAGTTTCCAACTTGAAAATATTGTTCTTCCTTTCTCCCCTACCCAAAGCATAAGGTACGAACACTTTTCCGGTTCCGACTTTTCTTCGTTCAAGCCTAGTAGTCCGACGGTCCGATAGTCCGACATCCCAGTAGTCCGACGGTCCAATAGTCCGACGGTTCGGTAGTCCAACATTTTGACCATTACCAATATTGTAAAGAGCTAAAATTAATCCTATCGGACATTATTTCAAGGAAATTACGAAAAACCGCCAAAACCGACAGGGTTTGATCATATAATTAAATCAGACAGCTTCTTACAAAAGCTTTCAAAGCGTGAACTGAAAATCAGTGAAACCGACCGTACAATAATGAAAATGCACATCGCATGCACATGAAGTACAGGCAAATACTCAAATGATCATTATCATAGCAGGGAAGTATGGGGCGCTGTTTTTATATTTTTAAGGCATTTTTTTATATCAAAAAACAATTTTGTGATATCAGAAATTTGAATGATTTTTTTTTATATCAAAAAATTCATTTTCTGATATCGGAAAATAAACAAGATTTTTTTTTTATCAAAAATACAATTTCTGATATCAAAAATTCATTTTCTGATATAAAAAATCCTCGGGATTTATGATATCAAAAAACGTAATTTTTGAATCAAAAATTCCAATTCTTGATATCAAAGAATCGATTTCTATGATGCGCCGTTTTAATATTTTTAAGGTTTTTCTGATATCAAAAAAGAAATTCTTGATAGCAATCAATTTGAATTTTTTATATCAAAAAAATCATTTTCTGATATTAAAAATTCGAATTATTGATATAAAAAATATTTTTTAGAATTATTATCAGAAATTCGAATTTGTGATATCCTAGAATGAATGACTTATATTTTTTGATATCAAGAATTCGAATATTTGATATCAAGTACATGTATTTGAATTTTTTTAATATCAAAATTACTTTTTTGATATCATAAAATCCCGAAGATTTTTTTGATATCATAAATCCCGAAGATTTTTTGATATCACAAAATGATTTCTTGATATCAAAAATTCGAATTCTTGATATAAAAAATGATTTTCTGATATCAAAATTTCGGATTTTTGATATCACAACATTTACTGATATCGAGAATTCGAATTATTGCTATCAAGAATTTCTTTTTGATATCAGAAAATACTTCAAAAATATTAAAACGGTGCCTCATAGGGCAGTTGCTTTAATTGAAACCTTAAATCCATCTTTTACATGAAAGGACACATATTATCTAGCTATAAACCGATTTGCTTTAAAGTCCGGCGAAAACAATATTATAATTATAATAGTTTTTCTAAATATATGTGCTTAATAAAAAAAAAATTCTGTGTTCAGTCCTTATGGTTAAATCTCATTTAACTCCAAGTCATGACAAAGTTCTTACCTTATTTTGAAAACTCGGAGTACATCATGAATTCTGTTGTCAATGAAATTGTTTTTTAAAAAATTAACAAGATGCCCAGGGGCCACAGCGCTCACCTGAGCACATCGGCTAGGAAAAAGCACATGTCAGAACAGAACTGAAAGTGTACTGAAGGGGGTGGGTGGGGCTTGAATTTTAACACCCCAGGGGATCATGATCTGAACGAACTAGAATCTACACTACCTGAGGATGATTCCATATAAATATTAC